TATCCTATAGAAAAGTGCTGTCTTTAGGGTTTTCCCGGCAATAATTCGAATTTTTCTCGCCGTAAAAACCATCCTTGGACTTTAACAAACATTTAAAAAAAGAATTGACCAAATTGCTCTAGGCGTTGTTGAGTTATGCGCTTACCAACATATTTTGAAATTTATTTTTCTATCATAAATATTGCTACATATCGTGGTTTATGCATTGTAAATTTTCAACGCGTTGTGGTTTAATACAATCGCCAATCGGAAATTGACTCTAACTAATTGCACTAAATGTATTTGGATAGGACACAATTGATATACAGTGTAAATAATATAAGTCAACATGATGTTATTTGGGTTGCATACATACACGCCGCGAATTAATTACAGTTATGCACTATTCTAACTTGAAAAAATTGAAATAAATTATTCACGTTAATGTGAGACACGAACTGATTTATCTTGTATGACCGGTAATTAAATCTTGCATGCATAATTAATTCGCTCGCCAAGATCATGCTGCAAATAATCGTTTCGGGAATTTAATTATCCTCGCAGACGTATATTCCGAATTGATTTTGCTAGTTTGCCGGCTGGTGCTGTGTGGAACTCCTTTACATACATCCTTAAATTCAATGTTGATTATAATTATGTATCTTCGACCTCGTTGTATAGTTGCCGGGTCGATCAATAAATGAATTATACATTAATTTAATAGGCGGCCAATTAGAACCACGCAGGGCGTGCGTCGTCGCGGATGGGTAAAAACAACGCCGCGCACAATTTCGATTTTGCATATTTCATTATAAAGCACCGAGCGCGCATTGCGATTGAGATAGTGCAGGATTTCAATTTTCGGCCGATAATTTATTCATGAACGCTATCTTTGGCCTCTCTAGCTTGTAAAATTGATTGATTACAAAGTAAACCGATTGAGTTGAATTTACATTTCAATACACGGCGGTAAACTGATTGCGGCGACTCACGCTTTATGAATTTGTGCTGTGCTGTTGATTCAGAATCAGACGTTTGGCGCGCTAGATGAGTGAGCGGGCTCTTTTTGTGTGATGGTGTTTGTTTTAGAGACGTGAAACAGTGTCGATATGGTGAGTGAGGTGTTTTTGTCGATGGTAAATAATTTAGGCTATAATTTCATTTGTGGGAATCAATATTATATTAGACAAATTAAAAATAACAGAGAATAGACTTAATAATGTCTAGAAATTTTATGATTACATTAAAACTATTTATATTATGGTTTTCAAAATTTGCACTTTGATTTCTATGTTATTTAGAAATAGATTGAAATTTAAATGAAGTAAAATTAATGATTTTTATAAAAGTTACAGGTAATTTAGTGACTAAAACTTTATTTAAGTACAAATATTTGAATTGCGCATTTTTTCTTCAATTACTTTAAGGCTATACATGCGATGTAATTAAAATTGTGTAAATAAATTGCCACTTTAACTAAATATCGATTTAAACTGAAATGATGTTAAAATAATAATTGTTATGAAAGTTATGGTTAATTCAATAACAAAAACACGATATATCTATGAAAATACGCATTTCAACCATCAATCTACCATTGATGACATTGTTAAATTAAACATAAATAGATTGTACAATAATCCAATTACATGTAACATGCATAGGTTAATTTTCCAATAAATTTCCTCCCGGAATTATAGCCCATTTAATGTTTTGCGACTTAAAATAGCTGACTATAACGCTCTAAAAGCCCGCGCGGTTTTACCATCAGCATTGATAAAACGTGCAGAGTGAAAAATGTCCTTTTCCCTTTTGAAAAGCGGTCTTCCATGTTACTTGGTGTGTTTTCTCATGCTAACATTTTGACGTTTTTTACTCGTTGTTTACATCAAATCTATTTATTTTCTGGTTTTAAAATTTTGTACAATTTCTATTATATTTAAACATAGATTAAACTTTAAATCAAGTGAAATTAATCATTTTCTATTAAAGTTTAGACAAATTTAGTGTCAAAAACTGTAAATACCATCATATTATTGAATTTCTTAGTTATTTTCTTTATAAGTGAAAATCTACAGGTTCGATTTAATTGAAACTTTCAAATAATTCGTCTATTTTACTAAAGGTTCATTCAAATCGAAATATTTATAAATAATTTACGTTTTAATTTGATTTGTGCGATGAAATTCAATATTATATTAGATTAATTTCTTTGCAAACTATTTTTATTCCGCAAATAGAAAAAAAACTTTTAATTTATTAAATTTTCCTAAAATATTATTTAAACACCTAAAAATAACGTTTTTTTTATATAAATTTCTTTGAATTATTTTATCAACAAAAAATCTAACCAAATAGTTGTATATTATCTTGCATACTTGATGGCGTGATTAATAAACGCTAATAAAATTTTCATACATAAAAGAATGCAAACAATGTGCACATCTCACGTGTATACCCACATGTAACATGTGTGTGCGTTGAAGTTATGCGCGCATAAACCCCGTACGCATTGTTTTATCATATCACAAGCGAACGCTTAACCGAAAACTAACAGCCGCGGCGCGTACGACGTTCGCTTTATCTACCGACTTTATTTCCACGTCGTCTTCGTCGGGTCGCGCACGTGCAGCCACACACACTGCGCCGAGAAAGATCAACTTGACGAGGGTCCAGGTCCTCCCGTCGCGCTCGTAAAACGGACGCTTATCCCGCCGTCGTCCCTATCGCGCTGCCCTCCGGGCCGAGCCAGGACCTCGGCGGACAATCTAATTCGCATCTCGACAACCGATATAGTCTTGTCATCGAAACAAGATAACGCAACCATATTAATATCGGGACGGGATTTTGAACGAATTACGATTTTGTCAGACAACTGTCATTCATACCGTACGAGTATAAGTCTATGATTGCTAACATAACGCATGTGGCGATTGTTATCAAGGTTTTAGTGTGACACATGTCAAAAACTTATTGCTGGGGTGTTGAATGAGGTTAAGTCGTGCTGGCTTAGTGGATTTTAATATAAAGCATGGAAATTGTATGAAATTATATGAAAAAAATTGATTGGGATTCATGTTTATTCATTAGAAGTATCTGCATCTTGTTGGGATCATTAAAATATGTGCTTGGAATTATTTCTTAAAGGATGTCTTGTATGATCGCGCAATACATATGGGAATCAACAGGGCGAGTTTTAAACTTTATCGATTTTTTACGTCCTATTCTCGCATTTAGTCGACACTAGAAGTTGGCATGGCAACGAATAGAATTGTAGTCTTGTGTGTCCTGCGTTTTTATCGTTTATTCCAAAGTGGCTCTCCGGGAAACATCAATGAATGTCGTTCAAATTAATCTATATTATAAAAATAAATCGCAAATTCTGTTGGTAAGCGCATAACTCAACAACCCTTAGACGAATTGAGCCAATTTTTTTTTTAAATGTTCGTTAAAGTCCATGGATGGTTCCTACGGCGAGAAAAAATCAAATATTTTCCGGGAAAACCTTAAAGATAGCCCTTTTTATAAGATAAAAGTGGCATTGAGATTCAATCCTAGGTATAGTTAAATAGTTGAATTCGAGATGGCGCGCTGAAGTGCATTATTAGCTTTTCTTTATATAATTAATTTCTTTAAAATAAAATTGCAAATCTTAGTGACAGAATTGACACATAGGTACTATGTCTTGAACAAGAGAGTATAAACGAATTACATTTTTATTAAACACTACAGGGACGAAGTCGCTTATTTTATTCAAAAAAATCAAAATAATTGTTTGGCTATGAATCAGCTGTCAAACATAACCAAATCTATAGAAAATGATATTTTTGTGTAATTTTTATGCTAAAATATATTTTATCCAATAAAATTGCGATTCTGAACAATTTTCAAAGTCACATAAACACTCCCAAAAATTTTCCACAAAAATGGTGCAGTCGTTTAAAAAAAGTTCAGTAACATACATACAACTAGATGAATTTTATATTTAAAGTAAAAAATAAATATGACAGAAATAGGCAACCAATTCAAACAAAAAAATTCAATCTGAATGAGTAATAGCTTCCAGTGTCATTGATCTTTCAACCTCTTTCAACGCTAACGCTGACACCATAAATAAATACGTCTACGCCACGATGGCATAAATTAAATCTGTTAAATTTTAACTACTTCACTGGCATGCTGACTATTCGCATCTCTAACCATTCCAAACCCAGTACCCAAAACCCAAACATCATCACATGCCCCGCCGAAACTCAAACAATTTATCATAATTATTTTTTAATTCGCCATATTTCATGTTTAGGGCGCTGAATTCTCATTTTATGCTTAGCGTAATTTTTTGTGTGTGCTTGGTTTACCAGCTTTGTGCGAACGCAAACCTCTAGTACTCTGTACCTCGACAAGGGCTGCAGAAAAAAAGAGTACACGCACCTGTGGTGTGTGCTTGGAACTGGTTTATACTTTAGTACTTACTTTCAAAAGTAAATATACATTTTAAATGAAAGTGAAATGGGGCGAACGTGTAAAGTTTTAAACAGCTTACGCTCAAATTGCCCGAGGCGTAGATATTTTTTTCTGTATTCAAACATATTCCCCTATTTTTGAATATAAAGTGGAATAATTTACGTTTGTTGATTTTAAATTGTAAATGTTTTTTTTTATATAAGAGGAAGAAAAAAAAGATAAAATTGCTGAAAATGTCAATAGGATTAATAAGACCTGATCGGTGGAAACGATTGGGCATCCCCTTGAGAATGTGCTTAGCCAACTGTTATCCCAATCAGCATTTTCGATTGCTCGACCGGTTCGAAGCGCATTAGGGCAAATTAAGCCGAACACGCCAATCTGTTCGGAAATTTTCATCTTGTTGCACCTTTTCCGCGCCGATGCACACGCAAACCTTTGTCGAAACATTTTCAGACATTCTCTGTCCGTCGTCTAAGTCTAATGCAATTTATCTCAACTGTTTTTCACAATTCACGTCTTTTGCGAATTTAATATTTTCGGAATTTTCTACTCACCAATAACCGTCGCCAAAATTAATAATCCCAACACGACCGCAGTTCCAATCATCGGCACCATCTCCCAGGGGAACTCTTCGGTGAAGAGCGACCCGTTGCCCGACCCATTGCGGCTGTTATTCAGGCTGTCATAGTAACCGAAATACGATAGCTCACTGGCGCTCTCCGCGCGCGCAAATTGCTGCGATTCGTTGTGGTCGAGCAACATGTTGTTGCTCTCCATCGAGTAGAGAATCTTCTGCCATAGCTCATCGTCCAGCTCACCTAGCATCCCACTCGCCGCTGTGGTCGTGCTGGCGAGAAAACTCGACGCCGCACCGGAAGTTGTCGCATCGGTGGTGCGCGTCGTCAGCGTGCTGGCGAAACGCACCTCATTGGCATCGTTATTGTGCAGGTCGAGATCGTTGCGGTGGTGGCTGGATCCGACGATTAACGATCGATGCGGTTGGTCGTAGCCGCCCATCTTGTCGGTGGTGATCGCCGCCAGCGGCCGCCACAGATGATGCAGCTTGATGTAGTCCATTTTAATTACGCCATTACTCGTCCTCCGCCACCCAAGCGTGCCACCGACCTGCAACACAACATCATCATTACGCTAAGAAATACAGCCGATTGTGCGCTCGAAACGAGGTGGAAATTAAAGCGCAGTTGTTTTTTTTAACTTTTTAAGCGAGGTGTAAAGTGTGCGCGTGATAAATTGTCGAACGGAATTAAACGCGTCGCGGCAAAAAGGAAAGTGACGTTTTTGAGGGTGGCGATGAATAAAAATGAGAAATTGAATCATTTATTACGTTGATGCGGATCATTTATTATAGAAAAAATCAGTGAAATGCTTTAAACTTTAATTTTAAACCTTTTTAGAAAAGTTGTGTTCAATTGGTTGCCTATAATATAAATTTGCCTTAGGTTTGGTTAGGTTAGCTTTTTAGAAAAATTGTGTTCAATTGGTTGCCTATAGTATAAATTTTTCTTATGTAAATTTAGGTTAGGTTTTTTAGAAAAGTTGTGTTTATTTAATTGCCTATAGTATAAATTTTCCTTATATAAGGTTAGGTTGAATTCGACAACAATAAAAAAATATTGTTGTTGTTGTTCTTGCAGAACGTAATTATACAAATGTCTAGCACAGTAAACCAATTTTGCCGATTTAGCTACAAGCAAACTTTTTATGTGTTGGAAACACGAAAAACCCAGCGAAAAAAACTAATATTCATAAATGTTTACACTCTTGTGTTTTGTTATTCAAACAGACACTTAACCTAAAAAAATCACGACAAAAACAGCCGTTTAAAACTTTGGTTATTGCCAGTCTTTTCGCTTCTTTGTGGTTTTTCGCCCAACCACTTCATATCAAACAAACGAAGAATCCGCTTGCTATTCAACGCGCAATCGTTTTAATCGAGTTGGTCGATGCTTTTTTTCCCCGGCTTCGTTTTGTTTATCCATCTCTATTCTGTAACTTTGAAATCTCTAAATTTGTTCAATACACCTCAAACGCACGCTGAGGGGCAAAAAAGCGCATCGATTTGAATCGACTGACTCCATCCGAAGCGCGAGTGAATGCCCGGCGGGCACAAACAAATCGTTTTAATTTCTGGTCGAAGCGCAATTTAGATTAAATTGCATTCAGCGCGCGCGCACAACTTAAATTAAACGAAAACAATTCAAATTAAAACACTGCTCGCGGGCGAACGGATCGAGTGGAAGCAATAGCGTTCACGAGAATGATCATCATCGAATTCACGTCGCCTGATCGCGGCGGATTTGTGTGCGGATGGGATAAATCTGTTTTTTGGGGTGCTTTGATCTTTCAAGTGGTAAAAATTTAGCCACAAGGGTTGCAAAAAATGGGATATTGATGGTAATAGTATTATTTACTAGTGATAGGTTTCATATTTTGCCTGGAAAAAATTTGGAAATGAAAAAAATGAAAATATGAAAAAATATTAACAATTATAGGCATTCGTGCGCCATCTGTAGCCATATTAGTTAACTATAACTATAATTTTATCTTTATTCCTTATTTTTCACCCTTTTAAAACTTTTTTATGCAACAAAAAGTTGTCTATGATATTCAAAATTTATAAAAATTCATTTAGTGGTTTACCCGTGAAAAGAAGTCAAACATACAAAATTAATCAGAATTAAATTATGTTGATATTGTTTTTGATTTGTTTTGTACTTGTTTAAGGAAACACTGTAAACCATCCACTTGAATCGTAAACTTTGAAAGTTATTACATCCATGTGACTAGACTTAGTACTACTCTCATTCCTAATACAATGAAACAACATTTAGAGTTGTTGTGCGGAAATTGCGCTCGTATATTTCAACTATGCAATATTTGTACATGTATAAGCTGAAAGCATAAACTTAATTGTACTTTGGCTTAATATTAATGTGACTTTTGAATTTGGCTACAGATTAAACCCATCAAAATGATGACATTGCAATTTATACCAGGCTGTCATCTGTTTACATAAAATATGCATTTTAAAAGCGCGATTTTCATGATTTTATCTGATTTTATTTAATATTGTCAGATAAATCCGCCGGCCTAAATATAAGCACAACATTCATCCACCCGGCTGGATTATTCGGATTATTCAGCGCCTCGCGTGCATTTGGGTTTTGCGGAATTTGAATGTGATGGGTACATAACATTCAAATGCGGTATTAATTTATACATATTCCGATAACGTGGCAATGAATTGTGCCTGATTGCAATGCGCACGCGATTGCCATTCAAAATCGGAGTTAAATATTAATTCGAAACATATGGTTTTGGTGGTGCATATTTGGGCGCGCGATTGCAAGTCGGAAGCGCCGGCGGCAATAGTTTCCGGCAATAGTTGCACGCTTACGGCGGTGAGGAGCGCATCACGCGTGATTAGATACGTAAACATTCGGAATTTTGTTTGACGTGCGCATAATTGCGCGATACGTTGGCGTTAATTGGATTAATTTGATCAAGGACAGCGTTCAAAGGGGTTTTGTGAATGAATACTTCAGCAAATAGTTAGTTTTAGTGTTCATTTTGGTAAATTGCATGAGTAGTAACAAAATTAGAAAGTTATGGTTTATATTTTTTGAATAATTTTTGTTTTTAAAATAATTTTAAGATTAGTAAATGAAAATTTTAATTATTTTGATTTTTTTTTCTATTATTTTCCAAATTGAAATAAAACAAAGCTAAAAATAACTAATTTTTAAGTTAATAGTTATATTTTTGGATTATTAAATGGTTGATAACAAAACCAGAAAGTGTTGATAAATATTTTAGAATTATTCATTAAAGATTTCAATTTGTTTGCTTTATTTTTCTGCAAATTTTATTTCATTTAATTTGCAAAAATAACGTGTTTTTCAAAAATTAAAACACAGTTTAATTGTTTTACTGATAAATTATTTTTAAATTTGTCATTTGTAATTTTCAAGTATTGTTCAACGATGTTTTATATTTCATGATTAAATAATGAGTTTAAATTTACGAATTCACTAGATTGTATTACTTGTTGTATAGTGGATGCGCCGGGCAATGCATTTAATTACTGATACGTAACTAAAATTACAGGTTTTACATTTTACATTTATTATTAAAATGATCACTGATGCACGTATTCATATGCGGCATATTTTAATAACACATCAATTGTTTTATTTTCATTCGTAATTTTGGCTCATTGTTTATTAATATAATAAACTAAAAACATAAATATTTATATAATTGAACTTTGATTATGATAATAATTACATCTATCTTCTATAATATAAAAATGAATCGTAAATTCTGTTGGTAAGCGCATAACTCAAGAACGCCTAGACCAATTTGGCCAATTCTTTTTATAAAATGTTCGTTAATGTCCAAGCATGGTTTTTACGAGAAAAGTTTGAATAATTGCCAGAAAAACCCTAAAGACAGTCCTTTTCTATTGGATAAAAGTTAGCAATGAAATTCAATCATAGTTATAATTAAATAGCTGAATCCGAGATGGCGTGCTGAAGTGCATTATTAGCAATTCTTTATATAATTTGTTTAAAATAAAATTGCGAATCTTTTCGATTGAACTGACACATACTATGTCTAAAACAAGGGGTAAAACTCAATTACTTATATCAATTTTCTATTTCTGTAGCTAGAATTTTTATTTTCTCCTACAAGTACGAAATTTGAACCAAACAGAGTGCTAGTTTTCAGTTTTGATAAATGTCAACTTGTTTAAAAATGCACGAGTATGCTCGTTTGTTCTTTGAGTCGTTTGCGTACATTTTAATAATCTCCCGAGCGAGTAGACGCTCAACGATGCAGCGAAATATGAGTAAGTTTAAAATTGAATTTGTGCTCTTCGGCGACTGCGCCGCTCGTGCATGCGCACGGGCTTAAACAATATTTAATATCCACATTTATAACATCGGCTTTATTGCCTTTAGTGCCCACACACTGTTTTATGAAAGCCGACTGGTAACGAAATCTACTGTGGGCTCAAGCATGAGGTCAGCTTAGGTTAATATCACCTTGGATGATAATTAAATCAGAAATGTATGAATTTTAATCATGAAGCGGTCTTATATAATATTTAATTTTAATCTCGATGATTTATGCCTCGCACTAGGTATATATTAATTTTATTGAATTATGAAAAGCGTATCGTTACTGTAATTTGAAATTTTAATTTAGTTTTAATCTTGTGAGGGGGAAACCTGTTTGATGTTTGATTTCGGTTTTAAGGTCAGAGATCATGTGAAATGCAGGAATAAACTTTTAACCTTTGCGTTAGTAATTGTTTTGTAAAATGACAAGTAAAACAGCATTTTATTGTACAGGCAGCAAAGGAAAACCGACAAGACGTGCACGTGTATACATTAATTTAAAATTTTGTACTTCCGGAAGAGTGCAGAAAGGGTCGCATTATTATCAAATTGTCTTTTAGAGCTTTTTACACGTCAATGTAATTTTTGCGGCAACAAATATTTATTTCTTGCTTCTTCCTTGCTTTTCAATAAAATTCGTAATTTTTACAAAACAAATAAGAAATTCTAATAATGCATCTAGCGCCATCTAGAATTCAATTATTTAACTATAAAGATGATTGAATCTCTATACGGATTTTTATACTTTATTTAACAACTTTTAAGTAATAATTTTTGACATTTTAATACTTATTCTGCTATTCGGGGTGGAGATGAATCTAAAAAATCATGAATCATCAAAATCCGTCCTGCCGTTCTTGAGTTATAAAAGTTGTAACTAACTTGACCTTTTATAAAGCAAGTGCACTCTTGAGTTCAAATTTTAGTTTTAAAATTTTTGTATTCTCCAAATGTTTGACACTTTAGTGTAAACAAACACACACAACTGTCCTTATCAACCATTTTAGCTACAGCTATCAACTGATTATTAGAGATTAACCTTTGATAAAGTAATTACATTTAAATTTAATGATATTATTTCCAATTTCACTACAAGATAATTACATCGCGAGGATAATGCTATTTTAACCTTTCACATATAACAACATACAATATTTATATTTATTTATAAGCTCATTTACTTGCATACATTGACAAAAATAGATCCTGATTCTGATTACGGTTTTAACATTTCCATTTATATTTTTACACTCATATCAATACGAGGCGACACATCCGATCCGGAAAACTATACAACTTGTCACTCGGTGTCAAGTGTAACATGAAATAGTGTAGTGGTGCACACTGGCTTCCCTCGGCTGTATAAATATTTATTACAACTTTCCGGCCGCGGCGCCCAGCTTTGCCGCGAATGATCAATGCGGTAAGTTTCGGCCCGGAGAATAAAGCCGCCGCCGGCATGCGCCGATACCACAAAGCTTTGAGATCAGGTGATATTAACGAAGAATCCGCCGCTGCCGCCCGCGTAATAGAAACCTTGGGGAAAAGTTAATGCTCGGCGCATAATTGGAGTGAAATAAAAATAATACAAAGCATCAGACTGAAGAAATAAAAAAAACATAATAAAAATAAAAACACAAATGTCTGCGAATATTTGCTGGCTAAGAGTTGATATGATAATGCATATGTGGATAAGAGAATCATATACGAGATAACGTATTTCGGCGATTTATTGTGCTCCCTAGCGCTTGAAATAGGTTATGGCAGACTGCCCAGAATACGCAAGTTGATTGATGCTCGTAAATGATGTTTTGAAACGCTAGGACGATTAAAATGAAAGGGGTTGTATTAGCTACAGTAAGAACTACATATAATCTACATTTAATTATTTATTATTTATACTTAGAAAAAAATGTTGTTCAGTTGCTTGCGTATGAGAAAACTTTGACCACCTTGACCGCATGTTACTAATTCATCTATCATAAACCAAACCCCTCTAAGAAATAATAATAACTTCAAGATGTCCTTGCACGTCAAGAACACATCCAGAGGCCTAAAGCCCTCGGTCATACTCGAAAACTTTCGGGAGCAATTCTCGGCCAGTGGGCAAACTTTACACCCTTTTGCGGAAGTTGAAATGTCAAAAGCGGATTTGTGGCAGAAACTCGTGGTTTGCGGACGAACTTCTTCAACATTTTTCAAATTTATACTATAAAGTACCAAAAGAAGAAGAAGAAAAAGAAAAATTCCAAAGTATGTGAATTTCATGAATTTATGTTTTGAGATAGATTGTATTGCGACTTTAGTGTAAAGTGCCTTCGCCCCTCGTTGGACATTGGACGAGTGAACATAAAGACGGAACATTTGTTGCTTTATGTTGATGCGCGCGTAAAACCGGCGATAAAAAGGGGCGCGATGGTTCATTTAGGCGATGACGTATGTATTTTTTGAACCAATTTAAAAATACGAATGGAATAAAATTTATTTATACGAATAAATACGAAACATTTTTTGGGGAATACGCTCAAAAACATGAATAATGCATGTGCGGATTTTTTCCTACTTACATTAACTTAATTACATTTTAAGCGATTTTTAAGTGGCCATATACCGCAACGGTCCATGTATCATCCAGTTTGCACACGTTGTATAATTTCAATTAAAGTACTTCTCGATCTCGTCGCCACAATCACTTTGCTCTCAATCCGAACACTCGAAAGTTAGTTTTGCAAACAAACTCAACTCGAAGTCGTCCTTCAGGTTCTTCTTCAGTGAGTGTCACTCACTCAAACTTTTAGTTTAAAAAAATAAATCACGCCACTTTCAATAATTAATTAGTAATTTTTAGTAAATGTCAGCTTTTCGAAATAATATTAATATTATTTTTGATGATAAGATGTGTTTTGGGGTTGGTCGCGCAGCGATTTGTTTGTAAACGTGCGAATGCCGAAACGCGTCTGATTCGGTCGGCGGGCGACCGCCGTCGTGTACGTGCGCCGACTGAATACGCGTTACAATGCCGCCACCGCCGCCGTTGACGCTGGCCCATGTCTCACGGATGTGTTCGGGTGGCGGGCGCGTGCGAAAACTCGTGCGCGCCGCCGCTTCACAATCCGTTCCCCTCATCTGTGGCATAAAAATAATAAAAATACAAAACGGACAACAGTAGAGGTATAAAAGATAAGAAACAAAATGTATTCTGTTGTATTGTATTTTATTGTATTTATTAAGGGTTGAATGAGTTTGTGGAGATTTAAACTTAAGCTTAAATTTGGTAAAAAGTTTAAATTTACATTTTTAATTATAAACTTGAGTATAAAGTGAAAAAAAAAGCACATCGGCGGAATTTATAAACGTGAGAGTTTGTAATCCTGAAAATTAATATGCCGACATGGATGTGGTGAGCGGGGTGCAGGTTTCCGCTGGCGATGGCTAAACTTCTACTTGTTGCGGTATTGTTTTTACTAGATAATTGTTTGCGAATTTTCTATCTTATAAGCTAATGGAATACATACATAATTTAAAAATATGTATGCTTGGTTGCCTAACTAATAACTAAATATTTTATTTATGTTAATATGGTTTGCTTAAAACTAGTTTTTGTTTGAATTTTACGGTAATACGGTAACATATTGACTGTTCAGTTATTTTTGGTTAAAATATTAACTTTTTATGATAAAATTGATGTTTTTTGCTTGTATTTGTATAAAAATTGTTTTTTTTACAAGTGGCGTAGCAGTTTTTGTTGGTTAGTAGTGTTGGTTGCCTATAGTAAATCGCTTTTGTTGTATTTTTGTGATCAAAACAAGTTTTAGCCTGATTTTTGCTTAAGTTTGGTTTGGCAGAATAATAATTATTTAAATAATAGTCTATGAAATAACAATTCACTAAACAAATATTTTTAACGTGAGGTTAGAAAAACATTTCCACTTCTTTTTTCACTTTTTGCGCCGTATCTCCGAATTCGCATGCTGGAATAGAATTTATTCACTGACGTCACTCCTCTATCGCACTTTCCACTCGCCTGTGCGGCGGCGCACACCCTGTGACGTCATTTCGCTGAAAGTTCGGACGTCCCTCGAGGCGAGCCGTCTCCGACACCACCAGCGCACGGCAATCGTTCGCGCACTCACCGCCCCACATTCAAGCGCTCAAGCCGCTTTTGCTCTTTGCGCGCCCTATGCCACCCACATTCACACCCCGAGTTGCCATCGCGACCAAAAGCAATTCTATTACATCTGGACGGCGTGACATAGGTGAGAGAAGAGCATCCGGCGGCATCCGACTAATGGCCGAATTTATAAAAGCATCTTCGTTACATGCAGGTAACAATTTATCGGGTTAATCGTTAATGGCGTTAATAATAGCAGCGTTCAATTATTAACCACACAAAAACATTCATTTTCTTGTATTTATTATGCGCGTAATGTGTCTGCGCTGTAATGAGACAACTTTGGCGAGCGTCCTAATGGACCATGATTATATTAACGGCGACATTATGAAATCTGATGATTTATTTTTATTAACTAAATAAATACTTAATCTTAGTTAATCATAATACCAGACGAGTTGGTAATATCAGATTTAATGTATGCAACCAAATATACACCGAGTAGTTTTATGTTGTGGTTGGTATCATTAAACTATCAACGCTACACCTGAAGTTGAGTGGGTTGCGCCCGGGTCCCAGGTGTGATTTCGGCGCGATTTATTCCCCCGGGGCCAGGATCCCGCATAAACTGCAACCCGACACACTCGACAAATTACGAATTGCGAGAAGTGCAAACTAAAGTCGCCGAGTGTCTGGCGTTGAGAAGCTGTTGTTGGGTTAAAATATTTACGCCCCGACACGTGGCGCACGCCGTGCACCATTGACACTATTAGCAACTTTGCCCCGCGGGAAATCCTCGCCAGATTAAAATTAACGAACGCGTCTCCGGCACGTCTTTACGTCTTCTCATTCTGATAACAGATAACTGTTTCTATTTGCACTCCACTCATCTAACTTTGCACTTAATCGCAGTCTTCGCACTTCCGCAATTTCGTCATTTCAACTTTCTGTCTGTTTGTCTGTGGTTTTGCTTTGGAGTGTGATGTGATCTATTTTTGATATAAAAATGAATCGCAAAATTTGTTGGAAAGCGCATAACTCGACAACGCTTAGACCAATTTGCCCAATTTTCTCTTTAAAATGTTTGTTAAAGTCCAAGGATTGTTTTTACGGCGAGAAAAATTCGAATAATTGCCGGGAAAACCCTAAAGGCAGCCTTTTTCTATAAGATAAAAGTTGGCATTGAGATTCAATCATAGTTATAGTTAAATTATTGAATCCGAGATGGCGCGCTGAAGTGCATTATTAGCAATTCTTTAAATAATTAATTTCTTTAAAATAAAATTGCGAATCTTATTGACAGAATTGACACATACTATGTCTACAACAAGAGAGTAAAAACGTATTACATTTTTATGCGACACTACCGGGACAAAGTCGCTGGCAAAAGTTAGTTTTTATTAAAATTGAAAAGTTTACTTCAATCCAATTATAATAAGTAATAGCTCCGAGTAGTGCGTTTATACTCGACTGCATTTTCTCAATGTCAGTGTCGATGTCGATGTCACCAGCGTCGTTATTGTTCGTGATAGTTGACATTCGGGACATTCGTCTTGAGCCCATCTTTGCAGTTTGATTAGCATCGCTCGATGGCGAGTAGTGCGTCGGCTGTTTGTTAGAGAAGTCATTTGCGAGTCAAATTTAACGACACTTGAAACTATCGATCTCTTGTGGTCGACGATGCCAGCATCACAACATCAAATGTACATGCAATGCACCGGCACTAATTACGAACAGAACATATAAGTTCTGCCTCGGAAGCAATCAAATCACTAGATAGGGAATCATTCAATTTAATTATAAGCAACTTGTGCTCATCGAATATATTTAATTATATATGGATGAAATTCGATTTCGCAAACATATTTATTTCTGTATTTTGTTGTCATCGCGTTGCGAGTTCGGCGGAAAGGTTAAATGTCATTTTGCTCGCGCCCCAAACCGCCAAAACCTCAAACTTTCCACCTCGAATGATGCATCTGAAATTTCACTCCGGCGTAATTTAATTTCCACTCCGGAGCACGCTGGTTGCGACTGCGAAATTGGTAATGTTATATGTCGTCCCAATTGATGTACGAGACTCTTGTACCGTCAGCCAACTGACTCCTTCGCATCCGCACGCGCAGCAATATGCATCAAGACAATTTGCCGATTTCCTTTACCAACACTCACTTATGTCATATTAGGAGGCAGATTAAATGCATGATATATTTATGTAAGAGTACTTACATAATAAAAGTGGATGTATCAATGTCTTAAAGCAGATTATTTTATTTTATTTTTTGTTTATTGTGTTTTGAGAGGGGAGGCGAAAAAAAGTCAAAAACAAGTGAATAGGTGTACTCTTTTTACACAGACAGACTAGACCATTAACAAGCAAAGCGTTTGAGATCCTATAGGATCCAGTTGACACGAGAACAATGCACCGGCCCCGATTGAGTTCCTGCGCTCCAGGGTGAAAGTTCAAAGAGCGCGCAGTGCTCCCGAGCTCAAATAATACAAAATCAATCAGGATGTCTCCGATGGCGTCAATGCTGATGCCAGGGATCCTTTACGTAAATATTTAGCAGACTATGCTTATAGTGTGTGGAGCGCGCAGTGTCACACAGTTTAATTAATCAAAGACTTTGATTGAATATTCTCAAGTTGGAATGGGTAATATTTTTGATATTTATGCTACTTATAGAGTTTTAAAGAATTTTATTTCGGAATTTGAAGAATACCAAAGTAGTTTTGTTGTTATAATGCAATTTGAAGAATTTAGTTCAATATTTCTGAATAATCTTATAATTTTGGCGATAATTCAATCTTTATAATATAAAAACAAATCGCAAAATCTGTTGGTATGCGCAAAACTCAACAACGCCTTGACGAATTTGGCCAATTCTTTTTTTTTAATGCTTGTTTAAGTCCAAGGATAGTTTTTACGGCGAGAAAAATTCGAATAATTGCCGGGAAAACCCTAAAGACAGGCCTTTTCTATAGGATAAAAGTTAGCATTGAGATTCAATCATAGTTATAGTTTAATAGTTGAATCCGAGATGGCACGCTGAAGTGCAGTATTAGAAATTCTTTATATAATTAATTTCTTTAAAATAAAATTGCAAATCTTATTGATAGAGATAGATTGATATAGAATTGACACATACAATGTCTAGAGCAAGAGAATAAAAACGAATTACATTTTTATTAAACACTACCTGGACAAAGTCGCCGGCAAAAGCTACTTTTTATATAAAAATTGCTTTGTGTTTTGAAAAATATTTGGTCAGGTTAATAGCTTTTAGCGTTTATCAAAATTTTCGATTGAAATCTGAAACAAAATTACATTAAAATATTTCTATTTTCTATTTTCAGAGAATATGTTGGTAATTTCATAGTTTTAATTTCAATTCAAAATTTCAAAACTCGGCAATTTAAATCAACATAAACCAACATTCAAACCTTTGATTACATTGAAAACTTTAATTTTAATTGTGGAAATTTAGCAATTTTGCAATTATTTTCCTCTGGAAGCCAAAAACTGTTGAGAGCGTATTTGATTTTTTTTCTGCCAACAAAACATGACCTGGCACAGGTTTCTCTTCATCTAAATAAATTACTTTAATGTAGAAACATTCGATGCCCAATCGAGTTGAAATTGCAATGAATCATACAATTTGCTTTCGCCAGTAGGCGCTTTCCAATCTCCTACTATAATAAATCACCTTTACATTACGAAGATTAAAAATCTGCATTTTTTGCGCAGCGATCCTTCTTCTCGTTCACTTAATGATACTTCCAATAGAATACCAATCCAATACAACCCTTTATAACTTTGTTTTTCCACCTGGAAAAGAAAATTAAATTTATTTATTTAATAAAAAATATATTCTTAAT